AACCCCACCCACACGAACGATAGGATGCTAAGACAATGTGTTTTGCCATAAGACATGAGTGTCTCTACATGTCTTGTCCAAGAATAAATAATCATTTCTTACCATCAAATACATTATGGCTTTAGCATCACAACACGGATGAGTGAGTGTGTGTGTGTGTGTGTGTGTGTGTGTGCGCGCGCGCGCGCGCCCGCGCGGGCACGCGAATGTGTCTGTGCGTGTATGTGTTTGTATGCATGAGTGTGTTTGTATGTTTTAACATCAAACTGATCAAATCCAAAACATAAAAGCTAAACAAACGAAATGCAACAGTCTGACAAACAACAATAAGTCATTTTGCAAGGACCCCATACTTTATCATCTTTGACAAAAACCTGGTCTGTCCAAAGATTTAATATACAATAACATTATTATAGAGTACAAGTCTATGATTTTGGCTTATTTGAAAACCAAAAAAGCATATTTCCTCTAAAATAAAAATAAAAACCATAGACTGAAAATATGATATGCCGTCATCTGTATACACGCCATTTGAGCTAAGATACATGAAGAATCTTAGGTTAGTAGGTTTTAGTTAGGGTTTTGCCGCACTTGCAACACAAATCTCATATAATAAATGGCGAAGCTTAAATGAGTTACTAGAGAGTAATATACAGAGAAAATGAGGAGGAGAGATAACGACGATATACGATATAATTGTTAAATAGGAAAGATGGAACAAATCACACCAGAGCATCTGTCAACCACCCTCGCAAAGGATCGCATTCTTTCTAGATCTCAACATTGCTTGCGGTATAAAACGTCAACTCAATGTGGACACGCAAAATGGTCATTCGAAAACATTTCAAGACGGGTGGTTTTGGGGCACTTTCTAGAAGCGAAGCATAATATTATTATAAGTTCCTCATTCTTACAGGTTTTTCAATTCTGTTTTCTTTATTTGAAATGTATTATGACTAGGTATATGAAAAACGCAAATGTGTGCCTCGTGTATGTGTAAAATAGTGTGAAATAGGCCTATGCCGTAAAATTGACTTTTGGCGGCTGATGTGACTTTAAGGATACTACTACTACTACTAATAATAATAATAATAATACGAATAATAATAA